ACCGACAGTTAACTTCTGACTTCAAACTGCCATGATCCCACTGTATGGCATATTCGACTACTTCCACAGTACTCACCTCACCTCGTTTCTACCTTCGTCTTTTATACACTCTTCTGTTCCCTCCACACCCCCTCTCGACTTTCTTTCACTTTGATGTTCCTTCCCCTCTGTTAAGCCTGAAGTCAACTAAAGGGCTAATGATGACCATCAAAACGCCTGCTATTTAATATAAATAAATAAATAACTTACAAGATATCTAAACGGGAATTATTTGAACACAAAATGATGATACAAATTATGCTTTAAAATTGCATATAAAAGTTCTATTTACCTGTGTTGGCATGTCTTAACTTGACTAGCTTATTCAATGTGAGTTCATACAATTTATCAACCCTATAACACTAGCCAGTCCAATAAATATCATCAACACACCACATTCCTAAGTTTATTACATCTTTGTAAAACACAGAAAGGCAAAATAAAACCTTTGTTTCAATAATGACCCCTTAACCCACAAATTTTATTTTTGAAAGATGCACCAACCGCACTCATGCGTGGCTCACAGCAGACTTATACCGGCGACGTGATGAGTTTCAGTTGTATCACGCGAATGATATAGAGGCGTCTTGAACAAGTTTCAAATGGCAATTGCGTCACTTCTATTATGCTTCTAAGCACCATGGGAGCATATTTCGAAAAAGGTCCGTGGGATCCTAAGGGAGCCAAAAGGTTTATCATAGGAAACAAATGAAATTTCCATTTAATTAAGTCCAATTAAGGATTAATATAAGAAAATGTAAGTTAATGGGAAGAAAATCAGGGCCTCAGAAGTTATTTATTTGGGTCTTGGACACTGACCTTTTGAACTCTAATTGGTGTGAGGTGATTACAGCACTGCGTTAATTTATGGTTTGAGTGTGAAGCTATGCAATCGTTTTAAATAAGTGAGTTTTATTGAGTGAGTTGGAATTTGAGGTCACAGTATAAGTACATGTATTGGAGAGGTGAAGAATGCCAACAATATTTAAGCGCGCACAGTATCGAAATATCGTCTGTTTGGATAATTTCGAAATTGCACGGACCTTTTTTTCTTAAGCTTGTTTGTCTTTGTATAATGGCATTAATCGGTTAAAGTTCTCCTAATAGCACATTGATAGTACCTTGACTGATAGGAGAGTGTTAAGTGATATCAAGAGTTATAGGAGGTTGTAGAATTCCTCCTGAGTTATCATGCTCTTTCTTTCTAACGGTCCTCTCCACCTAACAAGTAGTCTTTTTACTCGATAATCAGGTTGACTGGCCGACTTAATTAGACCTAAGCAACTTGATTCAAGTCAACTTTATATGTTTATGGTGTTTGTGTGTGAGTATTTGTCTATTAATACCTTAATTTTATCAACGCTATTTTTAGGACCCGTCTTCATTCGCAGTACTAGCCGACGATGTATCACTGCAAGGCTTTATGGATCATTTGAAGAAGTTGGCTGTTTCCTCTTCAACTTAGTCGCTTTTCTTATTCAGAATTGATCTCTCTCTCTTTCTCTCTTCCATCTCTGTATCCAACTCCCTGATCTCCCCTCCTTCTGCATTGCCTAAAATTTTGGCATCAATTTGTAGTCCCTTACTTTCCTCACCACTCTCCACTCTTCGTAGTTTAACTTGCATGTTTAGCTTGTTTTCTGTACTTGAACGCTTGTGCCTCTTACTGATGCCATCATTTTGTCCCATTCCTTGTCTTTGAATAAATTATCTATCCAACATATGTCTCCACTAGACGGTGAACAGAGGTAAAAGGTATAGAAAAGGCGTTATTTTAATAGGTGTTAGTGGAGAGAGAGCTTCGAAGGGTGAAGTTATTAGGAACTGTCTGAAGTATTGGTGTGAAAGAGTTGAAGAGGGGAGGAAGTTACGTGGGTGCGTATGCCGTGGACTCTGGCCTCAGAGTCCAATTATGGTTGAGTTTATGTCTGGACTAAAGTCGATGGAACAGTTTAAAGGCCGTAAAAGCTTTACTTAGGGAAGATAGGGGTTAAGAAATGGCAAACTGGGAGGGTTGTGATAAGTGACCTCTGGAATCTCCCTAAATCGATGTGGTCTGGCCAATTTGGTAGCAATTTCTGTAAATGGTCAGCTACCGAAAGGCCGAAAACTTGTGCGACTTAAAATGGCAAGTCATAGAATCTCGAGATTTTCCGTTTTACCAAATCGTAAATGTAGGCTTCAGAGTACACTGCATAGGAGGTATTGGCAAATGAAAAGATGTCGTGTTAAGTCATTGCTTTTTCTACCTTCCTAGACATGCTAATGAAATCAGGAAGAGAATAGAGGTTGTGTCGTAAAAGGTGTTTGTTGTGGGATAAGATGGGAGCACTCGTCGTCTAGCTAAAAAGGTTGAACAATCATGGGTGGTAGGAAATAGTGGAGCTGAATGTTGATTCTTAGAAAGATAGAGATATGCTCAAAAGTAGAATATTTAAAACTGCCGTGAATCTCTCTTCAATGACAGCTTTCAAAGGAAGCCCAATTAATTAGTTATAAAATTGTAAAGAATTGTTGAATTCTTGGTTCAAATAGATAATAACCATAATTATAAAGCGCGTTTTTCTCCAATTATATCATAGTTTATTTTGCCCACTAGTTCAAGCTATTACATTGCCAGTTTGACGAAGAGGCGCGACAATAAATCCATGAGGGAGTATTAAGCCCATTATTTGGGAAGCAATTGCTGTCAAAGAGAATGCCTATTGAATCCGTGATGAACACAGCGCTAACTTGGCTGAACCAAATAATCCTCTGTGTGGACTAGAAATCGAGAACGTGATGGTGACCGCATTTGGAAGCAAATGAGGTCAAGATGGCATAGATCTCTTTATCAATCAATAGGCCTATCCAAACTGAGCCCGAGCATAGTCCAAATGAACGTGCTTTACGTCAAGTGTCTGTTTCCCCTAATTCATCGAGGTAGCTTAGAAAATCCCGGAAGCCATTCCAAACTAGAGGAGCTTGCCACATGATTACTGAGCGATTATTTTAGCGTGGTATCCATCGCATTAGTCAAGGAACACATTGAACGCTACGGAAATATATACCTATAAGTATTATACTGTGCTCTAACTGTTATTTCTTATTTAAAAGTAGGAAAAGTTTTATTACTAATCAGAAGTATTTGCACAATAATATGAGAGCATATGACATTGTAATTAAGAATCTGTGTAATACGACACCTAATTGGCTTGTAGCGGATTGCTACGCTAGTAAAGCCTGACCGACTCAGAAATCTCTGTGGCAGATTCTCCTACATCTAGCTAGACTCCCAGAACCAGCTAAGCTATAGCCCAGCTATGAAAGGAAACAGACGTGTAGCATGGAGCACGTTTATTCAGTACGAGTATTGCGGATAAAGTGTACACGCAGGGAGCGTAATCATAATCAGGAGGGCGGATTAGGTTAAACAAACAGAGGTTAATGATTGGTCACTGTTTGTACGGTCGCACCTCCCAATCCTGGCGGGCAGGCATGCGATGACATGTCCCACAGGCTAATGATAACTAGCACAAAGTCTGCCATTTGGTATAAATAAGCAAATACATTAGAAACCGGTTTATATGCTTCATAGCATGCCTAGAAATAATGTGTGTTTTAGAGCATTTGCACAACTGGTGACATCTCAAGGAAGTTGCCTGTCAGTAATTTGTTTCCCAGCCAGAAAATCCCCCCAAGTTATTCCAGAAAAAAAGCCCCAAAGTCGTTTGATGTTTTGCTACTTCAATGTACTTGAGGTGGGGTGTACGATAGACTTACCTCCACGTGGTGCACCCTGGGCAACGTATACTCATACGGCAAAAAAGTCTATAAACCGGCAGTTGACTTCTGAGTTCAAGCTATCATGACCCCACTGTATGTCATATTCAACCACTGCCACAGTACTACATCACATCTTTTCTAAATTTTGTCTCTTACATCTTTGAAACACTCTTCAGTTCCCCTCCCCTCGACTTTTTATTCACTTTGTTGTTCCTTCCCCTCTGTGAAGCCTGAGGTCAACTAAAGGGCTAATGATAACCATCAAAACGCCTGCCATTTGATATAAATAAATGGACTTGAGGTAAATCTCATACTCATGATTATGCTGTGCTAACAGTAAGGCAATTCGCAGTATTAAGATGTCTGCTTAAAGAGCAACTTATTAAAAATGACCAAAGTACGCATATCAGGGAACTTTATTAGCTCTAATTTAAAGATTTGTACATGTTATTACCATTCGCCAGTTTAAAGGACTTTTGCTTACTGATGCCCACAATAAAAATCTATTGACAAAAAAATCAGTTAATTTATTGACAACATTCCAGGTCTACCGAGATTATCCCATGGGCGCTTATTTGGGGTTAAATGCTAAAATGCAGTCTTCCAGCTTTTCTCTACGTGGGACTGAAGCTTGACTAGCTCCATGTGCGGTTATTTAGATCCAAAAAAATGCTTTCATGAAATGGAATTTTCCGTTTGACCGCCCCGAGTTGATCTTAGAAAAAAACCTCAGTAGTTTCTGAAACTCTTTCCAACGCCCATATTCACTTTCCTAATTAACTTGTTAATGACAACTATGTTCCCAGGGCTTACACCAATGAATATTATAGCTCGTGACTTTTTACTTTAGCAGACATGAATATTGGACAGTGCAACCCAATACCGAATCTAACAGAAGCTCACATAAACTCGATTAGTACGTCACTATAGAAGGGTTTGGACCTGGTTAAATTATCATCTGTACCCCCCCCCCCCCTCCAGGAGCACGCACGCAGCCTAGCTTGTGCAACGTTCAAGGATAAAAAGACGACCATTCAGAATTTACAAGAACTTCACATTACATTTACCATAATTAGCAAGAGGTAAAAGATGCTGATAACGCAATGGACAAAGGGAAGAGGAATAATGTCAAAACATGCGGTCAGGCAAACATATACACAAGATTGGTTCAATAACCAATTCGAACAGATGATTGATCAATAAAATGGTGATCGTTCACGCACTGACGAAGAAGCATTCCGATTTCTTTTCTCTCCAGAGCGCGAAGAACCCTTGAGTTCCTTTCCGCGCTGTTTTGCATCTCCCGAATCATCTCTTCGACGACGACGTCGTTCATCTCTTTCCTTGGAAGCATCACGCTCATGACGATCTCGCTTTCCACGTTCTCGTGAATCAACTCTGCGACGATCTCGCTTTAAATCTTTATGAGGAGAATCATATCTACCTTTACGGGAATCTAGAGGTGGATTAAGCTTTTCCTGAAGGGGGGAAGATGAAGCAAGACGGTTTCTACGAAGTGGGGACGATGTTCTCTGTCTGTTATTCTTCAGTGATACCAGAGGTGATGGGCTAACCTTTCGACGCTTGGAAGACTCTGAAGGCAAATACTTTTGTGGAGGCGGTGATGCAGCATATCGATTCTTACGATCTCGAGGAGCTGTCGGTAAGTCATACCGACTTCTACGTGGAGATGACGAGCCCTGTTTGCCTCCAAGACTTGTAGAATTTTGGTTAGCATTAGGTGAGGGTGATGCGTATCGGTTTCTGCGAGGTGGGCTTGGGGTTCTCTTTTTAACAATAGCAGGAGGCGAATCGTATCGACCTCTACGAGATGGTGATATTCTTCGGCGTTCCGATCTTCCAGAATTTTCCTTCACTGGAGGCGCCATCGGTGGAGAAACATATCGATTTCTACGAGGTGGAGTCTGGGATAAATTCTTTCTCTTTTCTTGTTCAGAATCCCCCGTTCTTCTTTTGTCAACTCTGGGTGGTGAATCGAAACGACCCCTACGAAGGGGTGTAGGAGTTGGCTTCCGACGTTTTGGTGATTTGGGAACAGGAGACACTTGCCGACTTCTACGCAGCGGTGGAGTTGGAGCTTCTTTTCGCGATTTCCCATTTGAAGGAGATGAAAGCTGCCTACTTTTTCTAGGGGAGGTAGACTTCTCGACAGAAACCGAAGGGGGAGACACTTGTCTGCGTCTCCTAGGTGGTTGAGGAGAGTCTAGCCTCTTATCTCGATGCTTGGAATGTCTAGACTGAAGGATTGAAGGACTAGCTTCTTTGCGTCTGTCTTGAAGTGGTGTTGGAGTGTTATACCTTCGACGTTTTTCTAAAGCAGGAGATGATTCTCGCTCAAGTCGTTTAGATCGACCGTTATCCTTTGGAGGCGAAGGATTGGTCATAGGAGCTGGAGGGGAGGCATTTCTTATGTTCCGATCATTATCATTGCCACCAATCATTCTCTCTAAAGATGGTGAAATGGGGGAATCACGTCGACGTTTCAGGGGCGCTGAAGAGAGTGGTGTTGTGGGTCGTCTACCTTTACGGTGATCATGACCACCATCAGGCGATACCTGACGATCTCTCTTAGATTCAGGTCCTAAAATTTAATATAAGCATAATTAATAACTGGTTAGAGACCTGGTTTGCAATCAATGGGGTATATCAGAGGGTTAAACACTGAAGTAAACATATAAGAAACATAGTTCATCCAGTTATGTCGAAATTTTTTCCATCTCTTAAATATATTCTTTCTCACATCAATACCGAGCAATAAACATGAAATGTATATTTCACTTTCGTACAAGCAGAATTCTTTGAAATGCCCATGGATCACCAAAATACTCAACAAACTAGCAAGTTTAGTTGAATTTAGACAAAAAAATACATGAAATACAACATTTTAAGATAATCTCCATTCTATTACGGCTAATGTCATCCCATGCAATAAAGACCTTTATTAGAAGAGAATTCTAGACTTCGAGAAGAAGCGAACTTAAAGCCCAAACAAAGGAGAAAGAGTGGACAGCGACACTCCCCAACATAGTCGTCTGGCCCAGAATTGAAGCTCTTGCAGAGTTCAGACTGCGCACGGGACACAAATGCTTGGCGAAGCACCTCCACAGAATAGGAGTATACGTTCAACCAACAAGTCCCTTACGTGAACTATAGGATGAAATGAAAACTCAGCTGATACGGTGTCCAGCCCAACGGAATGACAGAAACTCAGAGATATTGGAAAGCCAGAAATCAATTAATGGGCTAATGTTAACTATCCTAAAGACCATATCTTCCTCCCCTCTATTAAGCCCGAAGTCAACTAGGAGCTCGTAGTAATAAATAACGATGGTCGTTTTAAATGCATAGCACAAAGTCATGGCCAATCTACTAATAGACACGTTAGCATAGCGTCACTCAAAAATAGCAAGCTTGTAATTTCTACTCCAATTTGTACTTCATTTTCCAATAAAGCCTAGGTAACAACTTATTCAGATACATTCAGTCAATTCGTTAGCATTGATTAAATAAACGAGCTAATTAACCCAAACGAGACCAAACACAATTAAATCAAATATAGAATAAAAACATTTAACTCACTCTTAGTATGTCTATCACGCCTATCTCCATTCTCCCTCACTCTCAAATCACCAAGAGAATCAGAATGATGTTTATTAACCTCGTTCAAATCCCCGTCAGGCTCATTATCCCTTATTCTTTTCTCCATTCTCTTCTTCTTTTGAGGGGGTTCTTCACCTGATGCTGAACTTTCACTCTCAGAAGAGTGAGAACTTGATCCAGAACTAGAAGTTGAACTTGTAGAGTCTGATGATGAAGACTCAGAGTCTGAAGAACTTGACGATTCGGAATCCGAATCCGAAGAGGAGTTTTCAACATCTTCTGACAGTTTCGCCTTCTCTCCGGCCGCTTTCGTTGCCTGCAAGTGCTCACGCAAATCAATCGTCAGTCCACCCAAACCAATCGTAGTTAAAAAGTTAATGGCAAAACGAGTATCCTTTGGATTATTTCTGGGTAGGAGATGGACGAAAAAAGGCTGAAGAGTCTCATCTCTCAATCTAGCCTGGAGCTTTGCCAGTCCCATGAAAGAACAGAGTTCTTGGAAGAGGTACTTGAGGAATATACGACCAGATGAAGAGGTGTCGCGCTCATTCAGTTTAACACACTCCAGCACACCCCAGGAGATTGAATCAGTAAAGAGAAGATGAGCAAAGAACATTGCTACATTCTTTAACTTCGCCGTTTCAAGACGGTGAATAGTGGCATACTGTTCACCAAAAATCTTCTCAAATTGAGCTACATAGGTTCTCGGTGGTTCAGACGGTTGAGTCGTCTGTTGCTTAGTCTCTCCAGGTTTAGGTTTTTCACCTGAGAAAAGCATAACACGACAGAGACGTTGAGCAAGACTTCCATATCGTGTTTCATAAGATCGCGTCTGTGCACAACAATCGAGAACCATGCTGGCAACCTCATATTCTTCTCCAGGCTTAATTTTCAACTGCAAAAGCCTATGAGCACCCTCATCAGCGGAGATTGAGGACTGAAGCATGAGATAGATAGTACGACGCAAGTGGACAAGATTGGTCTCTGTCTGGTCGATAATTGTACCTCCTTCTTGTTCCCCTGGACCCTGAACGTCACCTTCTTCGTCATTACTATCTTCAGACCCGGATTCAGATCCAGAGCTTCCAGATTCGTCGGAATTTTCATCACCAAGAAAGGTTTCACGAATCTCAATATACTTGGCCTCATTTGCCTCGTATTCAGAATCAAAGCGATAGATGTTGAGACCGTCCTCTATGTCAACTTGATCTAGAAGAGACAGCGTGTGCGTGATTTGGTCATCCTCTTCAATGAGATCCAACTCTGGAATGACGGTTGGGTAATCCCGCCATTTGTCACGACGAATCTACAACAAATAGATCGAAAGCAAATCAAAGGGAATCAATAAAGTCATAATTCCTTGACTTAGCATAACTAATTACATAGAGGATCAATCTGAATACAATCCATAGAAACACCTAAAAATCATGTTTCGAGATAGCCATTTCCGCAGGTTAACTTGGAGTCCCCAATAAACCATAACTAGTAACGAACGCATATCCAATTACTAGGAAACTAAAGACTTAGTCTGATGCATTTTATCGCTCCACATCAACTTGAAAATATTCCCATTTTAACGATAGAATATTTGGTGTCAGCCACATTCTGAGACAAATGTAGTTCAGCGATATCTAGCAGGCACACAATAGCAACGGAAAACTAGCGTTTCAAGCGTTGCAGCAGAATATAAGAGTACTTCATAATAGTGGGTAGCAAAATAAATGCAAAGTGACGGCGAAGTCATAAACGAAATCACAACAACCATGGCCTAAATATGGCAGCAATACATTATTCAAGCAAACAAAATTAAGACGCCGAATGAGAAATTCCTCTTTAGTTCGCGTAGGTCTAACGACCTCAAGAAAACCTGCTACCATGGGAAGAAAATTTTTCTTTAATCATTAGAATTCAACAGATTAAGATTGGTTATTGCATTTGGGATAATTCCTATAGGCTCATAAAAACTAAACAGCAACCTGCATAAAATTAACCTGAGCCATTCATTTAACTCAATTCACTGTCAACCAACACATTTAAGGGTTTGCCATTGTTTAAAGGTTTAAAATGCTTCATTGACGGTATAGTGGTTTATGATTTGGTGCAATTAGCCTAGTACATTCAAATCCGACCTCCCAAACCGGCAAAACAACTTTCTGGATCAATTTAGAACTCAACAAACGCTGGTTTAATAAGTAAATCTTAAGCAAAGGTGCAGCATCGAAAGTAAAAAAAATTGGCAAGATAGTCAAGTCTTCTTATGGGAAAAGAAACATTAGAATAAATACTCTATCATGAAAATACTAGCAGTTTACAACGAATTTCAACAAATATTCTAATTTGTAGCTCCGCTGAAAAGACAAACCGATTCTAAGGCAAATCCGGAAACCTTGGTATTTAAGAATAAACAAGTGGAGAAAAACGTGGACCTAACGGTCTTAATGAATTAAAGAATTCAAGCTGAAGTGAAAACCACTAGTGTAAAGTTAGGCCCTCAATCAATCACAAATGCTTGTTAAGACAACATTTCGGTTTACAGAAACTAAAAGAGAAAACTAAGAAACATTTGGTGGTTTAAAACTTCGCGCATAAAAGCCTAGAAATGTAATGAAGTAAGAGTGCATACCTGGAGCAGAACCTCGATCATGTAAGAGATACGCTTATCGCATTGGCTCTCGTTGAGAATACGTCTGAGATGATCAAAGATACCAGCCAAGCCCTTAGGAACCACTCGAGAAAGAAATGCCCCGCATTCCTTCAGGAGAGCAACTGAAACTTCAACGGAATCGTTAGTTGTTTGTTCCAAGAGAAGCGTAAGCAACTCCAAGACAATCAGCTCATGCGCAACCTTTTGATTAACAAGATGAGCTAAGAATCTTCCAGTTGTCAAACAGCGATCCTTTTGATTACGGCGGAAAGCCTTACGAAATTCATTGATTAATCGTTTCAAAAGGAGCTCTCCTATTTGAGGAAACTTGGTATTAATGATTGCAATAAGTGCTGCAAAGATGTGAGTAAATGTGGGAGAAGCCATTTGGGAAGTTATTAAAGATTTGACAAGAAGACCACGACCACGAATGATGTTTTCCATTAGAAGTTGGCGAACAACTTGTGATATGTTGGAAACATTCACCTTATTAATGAGACCATGGATAGATTTCTTCAAAGCCTCCCAGGCAATTCTCTGATAAGCGTCAGTATTCTTGTCCGTAATTTTCGCCTGCATCTGGCGAAGACGAGCAGGAGGGATATAAGCTCCTCCCGTTTTACCAAATAAATCGACATTCTGAGACTGTGAGGCGAATTGATTATCCCTTGTTGCGACGTCTTTTTTAGATAGTTCTTTATTATGCGTCCGAGAAGAATTTGAAGATGGAGAAGAACGAGATGATGACGAATCTCTGCGATTTGTAGATTTTTTACTCAAAGTCACCTCATCCTTCGTCTTACTAGTTTTTCTTGAACCAGTATTTGAAGCGAGTGAGGAGGAGCGTGATGAAGAATAGTGACGACGAACAGATGTATCATGTTTTTGAAGCGACTTGCGAGGAATCGGAGACCGGGAACGAGATGACGAAGACTGTCGGTGTCTTTTTGAACTACGTGAGTAGGAATTTGAGGAATCACGAACAGTTGCAACAGGACCTGGCGAAGGCATTTTATTAAATGGTTTGTTGCAGATAATGTACAGACTGAGCGAGAAATTAGATTGGTTAAAATTATGCAGTAAGTTATTGACAAAAATAAACTAATGCGTGGAACTTGTCTCCAAAATGCGAGTGCTATATAAATTTATTAATAGTATTATTAAAGTTATTTAATATGTGTAAAAGTTGCTTTTCTTATTTTTAATTATTTTATTCAATGCAAAAACTAGTATTCACTATGAGGTGATTTTATTAAACCTAGTATTCTATTATTAATTGATTAAATTATATAAGTTAGAGTATAATATGTACGAAATTACTTTGACGTTACACTTGAAACGAAAAGAGGAAACATATCCAAACCCAAATTCGCAATAACAATTGACAAATATATGAAATTTCATTATTTATTAAAATGCGATTGGTATCTTAGTTTGGGAAAAATGAATGTAAAGTTCTTTGGTTTTTTCTATGGAAACGAATTTAATCATTGATTGTTCAATTATAATATCTCAACAGCCAGTGAGATACAAATTTTTATTTTCTTTTAAAACCGAAATAAATGTTTCAAACCATTATTTATCGTGTTGATTGACTGAAATATATATTTTATAATGCTTATGGCCAGCAGATTTAAATTAACTTCTTGAGATCTTAATCGGTAAATTCACGACTATATTAATCTTTTAAAACGCTGAGAACCTCACAATTCTCTTCTCAAATTTGATTAATCGGTACTAATCTCGTGTTGTCGCTTGGAATTTTTTTCAATACGTCTATTTCCTTCGCATGATACCAACAAACCTCATCACGTTCAAGGCATCAGTCTGCTAGGAGACATGTGTGAGTGGAGTTTGATGCATTTTTCAAAAAATAATTCAGACGGTAGGTGGAAAATCATATTTGATCGGTCAACTCATTTGCGTATGAATTCCCATTAAAATTTTGCTCATCATCAGATGCATCGAGAACGCAAATAGAGCTGAGGTCATATCAATACCAGCTGTGCATAAATCTCCATTCATTTATCGATATATGTGTATTGCTAAAAGTTCTAGTCTAAACTGACAGCTATTCTTACTTTTTTTTATTTTATCCAATATCATATCCAATAGGTATATGCATGACCCACCTTTAGAACATTTATATATTTATTTTACGTGTACTAAAGTCAATAGCTTATAACGTAACAAAACATTTATAAATTGTGAATATTAATGAATGCTCAATAAAATTTTGTTCTGAGATTAAGTTCTGCACGTCAAAAATAGAGTTAAAAGTGAACAACAGCAAAATACTAGAAAATGATATCAACTTAAAGGGTAATGAGACAAGTGATTATGAATAAGAGTTGAGTAATCAAAATTTAATTAACATAAATATATAGCACTTAATAATGCTATATCAGGGTTTACATCTTTAACCCTAACAGTTCGATTCATAGACAGCTAAATACCATTATCTATCGAATATGTAAAGAAAATAAATGAAACAACATTTGACTCCAAGAGAAATTTAGAGGGGAATAAAGAACAAAAATGTCTGGGTAATTTGACATTTTTGCATTGTGTTTATCATGGTCCCAATTTGCTAATCGTTAATTTATTATAGTTTAAATCTTTATCTTAAAACATTGGGTTTTAAAATTAATCTTCAACAGGATACCAAAATATCAATAGATTCATAAGGAGTGTCAAAGTGGTAAATGAATTAAACAAATAATCATAATAGCAATTTTGTGTACTTTGTTGATGAAGATATACCGCTCATTGGGATAATCACAGAGTTAATCCGATGGCTATCAAATATTTTTCCAGCTCAATAATATTTCTATTGTCTGGGCCTATATTAGCATACAGAAACCTCATATAATCAAAGGAATTATGCATTCAATTGACTTCAAATGACATTACAAGATACCACGTAGTCTTACTTGAAATAACCTTTCAGCTTTATTTCTTGAATCCCAAATTGCTACTCTAATTATTGAATCAACTTATTTAACAACGAACTTGTAAGCACAAAGCCCTTTATGAGGAACATTATTTATATTAGAAGTGAGCATTTGTTTATTATCCAATATTTATTAATGTCTGGATTATCATCCAATTTTATTGACAGCTATTACATTTCTCAAATAACATTACATATTGCTTCAAATTTTTAATAGGACAACGCATTGCTTTTAAGGCAATCAAAGACAAACTTCCCCTATCGGAAGATGAACTACGATAAATGTCTTTCATTTATTCTCCAAGACAACGAGCTTTCTGTAAGTTTATAATTTCAATGAAATTTAACAATGTTAAGTCTAATAACTTATTTCAAATGGGTGTTATTCATAACTTTTATATGTTTATTTTTGTGATCTATTTTTATCAATTTCTAGGCCAATCATACGGAAAACATTTTTTCTAGGTCATCGCTTTGCGATCAATTTGACCATTTTTCTACGGTACCCTCGGTTCGTTTTGATTTCATATACTATTACCAAAGATTGTCATTCACATTTAGGGTAAGATTGAATCATTTTTATATATTCGTTTTCAAAGCTGCTAATTGGCAGTGTAAATGTTTTGTTATTTTTAGCGGTTGATGACACGTATTGTCATTAGTAATTAAAAATAGTAAAATTTTTGATATTTTTTCTGTTTACGATTAAAAACGATGCATTTAAAATATAGCGCAAACGTCGCACTTGTGGTCTTAATTTGTGAGTTCTGTGAGTTTTTCAGCAATTAAAATTTCTTTCATTTTAGCTCTTCGATGCTAATGATTTCACGGTTATTTCTATGGACGAAGTTGCTACTGGCTCTATTGTGACCTGTAGTCATTGTGGAATATTTAAGTTTCTACTATGACTTCACGTGCAGAAGAAGACTCTTTTGCAACGAGTATCCTTAGTCCCTCTTCAGTCCATCCGACACAGCAACAATTTCATCTCTCCTCACCACCATCGTCTTCTTCATCAACCTCAAGGCAGCCTCATGTCTCCACAACAAATACCAATCCCTTCAATGTTGCTATTAATCGACGTTTACGTAGTGGACTCAAATGCCCCACGTGCTCAAAGGTCAGTTCTCAGTCTTTATCATGCGGCTTAAAATGGAATAAAATGCCCGTTCATAATGGCTTACGGTGACCCCCATAATTAAGTTATCTACTTGAACAATTTCCAGACTTACATTTGGATGGAAAATATTGCCTAGTTTATTTGGAGGGTGTTTAAAATTCAGCTCAGGTTTTGGAATATTTGCAGCCCTTATTTTATCATAATTGATTTCAAAATAGTTCAACGTACAAACAGCATTGGTTGGGTAAGCCTTTCTTCAATGATTATCTTTTATTAAACGGGTAGTATTTGACATTAATTCTTACAGGTCACGCTTTAATTGCCCTACTTTTAAACTTTGTAAAATACATTACTATAACATTTATTTATTTATTTCAAATGGCAGACTTTTGGTAGTTAACATTAGCCCTTTAGCTGATTTGCAACTTCACAGAAGGTAGAAACATCAAAATGCGAATAGTTCGAGAGGGGGAGGAAAGAAAAGTGATTCACAGATGTAAAAGACAAACCGATATAAAGGTAGAGAAAAAGGTATGGTAAGATGAGTACTGTGGAAGTTGTCGAATATGGCAAGCAGTAGGGTCATGGTAGTTTGAAGTGAGAAGGCAACTGCCGGTCTATAGACTTTTTCGCCATATGAGTATACGTTGCCCAGGGTGCACCACGTGGAGGTAAGTCTATCGCACACCCCGAATTGCTATAACATACAGCGAAACAAAATCCTTCGAAATGTACCGAGCGGCCATCTGTTGCCTTAAAGTTAACCGCTTTTTTATTAATGGCAAACAGTTTGCACTGGATACGTTCTTTAATGCATTCCCTTGACACTTTTCAAAGATATTAAGAAGATCCGAGGATTTTCCAGTGATTGGCATCTTTACTTTTGGCGTCCATATTTCAATTGACTTTCGTGAACACAAAATTTATCAAAACTTCAAATTGTACTCAAATAATCACTTATTATTTCTAAACTACTTAACTTTTACAACCCAATTCGTGACTACTCTTGCATCAATCTGAGCATTTATTTCTGCAATAATCTTTCACTCAAATAGCATATTAAATCGATAACCTGATATGTTCTTCAACAATTAAATATCTGAAGTTACTTTTCGATCATTCTATTTATCTTTAAATCATCTTTGTTTGATCCAAATGATAAAGGGCTATCTTCGCAATTGATCTCCCTAAATAGGCATTTGAGAACGGTTTCTTTTTTCGCAGCCTCGGAACTAATTGTTTGTTCATAGGCCCTCCACAATTTTTACTTTCGTATTGCTCCGAAATGCTAAAAATGCACACAGCTCCTTATCAGTACTTCACTTTGTTCACGCATATACATGTCTGTTTATGTGTGCTCGCTTAGAACTGATCTTTTTTCTTCATGATAAATAAACCGAGAAAGTGATATGTTCAATGGATTTAGTAACCTTTGATTCACTTTAATTGGTTCAGGGATTTATCAATGGGAGAGGGTGAGGGGTAAGACACGTGTACTCTCAATTCAATATTTTCTCACCACTATGAGCTGTCCATTTTGGACGCCTGATATTTTTTTTCAGGGTTGTATGTTCTATCTCATCTTTCCAGTTATAATTACATTCCGACGAGTTAGTCATTGATCGACAAATAAACTGTATTGATAAAGCATTTTTTCATAGGGGAAAGGTTTGGTTGGTTGGCTTTTCTTCACATGTATCAATTTTGACATGCGTCCATTTAGGTGTGCTGTTTATCATCGTTTTATTAATAAATCGATTTTACAGATGAGCTATTGTGATTTCGATGAAAAACACGCTCTCCAAAATGCCGCTTTTTATGCTTTAAACTCTTACTCATTCTACCTTAATCTTCCCAAGATAACAACAATCTGATATTTGCATCTGAGTTGGAGTTAAATGGGGCGGAAGTTACATTACTCCGGGCATTTCGTGGTCTTGTCGTCAATCGATATGTATCGGCTCTAACAATTATTGCTTATTAGTCGATCAATAAGGCAGAAATTTCAGGGGCTTATTGCTATCACCTTTTACATATTTTCTGCTTTATAGATACGAAATCCGCCAGGTATATCCTAATGGATTATCCAGGTTATCTATGGTCAGCTATAGAGTTGATAGCGTAGTGTTGTTGACTGTAAATCTTACCTGAGTAATTAGCATTTAGCTGCAGAGTTTCTATTATCAAGCAAATTAAAAGAGTCGTGCCATTACGAAAGCACGTTTTACTTCACACTTTCGTTTATGAGGGGGGTCAACCTTCTAGTATGATTTTAAATTCATTGGCCTTTAAAATTCTGTATCATCTGCTCTTATTGACCCCCCAAGTTATCTCATGCTGAGATGATTTTGGCTTTAAACGCCAACTAATAAATGAAATCAAGAGTGATTCTTACTTCTTGTGGAAGAAATTGCAACACCTCATGAATGTTTACTTTTAAATTTTGTTTTAATAGTTGGTCTTGCCCCGAGCCTAAGATGTCTAAAGTCCATCATCCCAGGTCGTCTATTTAGTTAAGATGCGTAAAAGATTACCAGAGGGGTCTCTTGCAAATGATTTTAACGAACTCAAAACACTTACATTTTAGGTATATCGAGGTTCAATTCAGTGTTTGCTTATTGCTAGCTATTCCATCAAAATTGAATTTTTTTTGACATATTTAGTATTTCATATCAATCTAATCCCAAGTTATCAGTTTGAAATTATAAATTTTCGGGTTTAAAAATCTAATGTACGGTATTATCCGCCTTTAAACTACGTGGCGGTTAGATCGTGGGAGATAGATTAAAGTAAATAGAAGAAGAAGTGGCCTTGAGTATATACCATTTTCATTTTTTTTCCCAACAGTAATATGCGTTAGTTAAATTTGTCAATGAGCGTTCCTTGTTTGCATTTAACTCACTTCTAATTTTACCATGCACTGGCTTCCCCTCCCCCCCCCCCCCCCCTC